TTAGAGAACCATGTACTTCGAGTAACATGTTTCTACCTAATTGTCTTGATCAGAATCGTATCTTTCAGAGTTCCTTATGAGCTACAACAAGGATGAGATTTAAAGTTGTTGGTGTCCAAACTCACAAAACTAACTTGAACTTACCTTAATTTAAGAAGGATAGCTTATGAAGATTCAATAGTCACTTCAAAAGGATGGATCAAGAAACCACCAAGGTCAAATTAACTCATGACAGGTCAACTATACCAATTATAGGTCAGTTCTACCCATAATAGGCCAGCTCGACCCATACTCGTCGTCATCCAAGAACATTATGTAGCAATCCTGAACATGTCTCTTAAATGATATCATCACCACTCGAAACTACTACTCACAAAGAAATGAGTAGCATCCACGACATCAGTATCTCATTTTTCAGCCTATTAGAAATCAACAATGATTACCTAAACGACAGATAATCAAAACCTAGCTCACAACTACGACCTAGGCAACGTGATGAGCTGTTCGACCAACCTCAGCGATCAATCAAAAGCCTTAAATTTGGGCAATGACATGTACGTCTAGGTTAGCACCGTCGCTGATATGACGTCGGATGGTCAAGTTGCTTGATCTAAAGGCCTATAAATTGGGGCAAATGGTAGCCTCCGAAGAGCCGGATTCGATGTATTCTCTCCATTACACTCTAAATTTTAATCAATGAAATTATCTTTTAATTTTTATAAATTCCAGCAATTACTCTACTAAATTTATATTATTCTATCCCTTACTTCCATATATTATTTCAAATATCAGTTCAACCAATTCTATTTGTAGATCAACGTATAAGAATTTGGATTATGTAAGCCATGACACTGAAAGAGATAATTCCGAATAGACAGTCCTCTAGGAAGTAGTGATGTCAACGGGACGGGTTCGGGGTATGGTGGGGGCTTGCCCCGTTTCCAGCCCCGTTTATTTATTTTTTCAAAATTTCGAGTTCAATAAAATACAAATAATATTCAAACTAACAAAGTTAATATCCAAAATAAACACCACAAATCTTAAATATAATGTTCGCTATTGGTACACGCTGGAAATTATTTGTGGCAGTGGGGCCTTTAAGTGCAATTGTGCTGAAAATTATATGAAAGGTAATTTTTGGTGGTTGAGAATATGGATTGCAGTTGAATAACATTGAAAAAAATAGAATAATGCTTTAGAAAATGGACCTTCAATAATTCCAGCCTAAGAGATTCTGTAAACAACTTCAGCCTAAGAGATTCTGTAACAACTTGTAAACTTACTGAAATAAAACCATAAATTAAAAACATTTTTTGGGCAATTATCCATTGGAGTTTTCACTATTTGAATTTTTTGAGGTGAATGAAGAGATTTGATGCTGGTATTGATTCTAGACAATTTTCCTTAATGATATGAATAATTTTCAACGCTTTCCTTCTTTTACGAAGAATAGTTGTGCTATGATAAAAGTCAAAAAGGATGTATCAATCATTCTCTATGCAAGTGTCCCACACGTTGAACAATTTATTGATTTGCTGGAGTCGATAGATTGGCACTCTGTTTCGCCATTGATCTATTAATTGACCATTAATCATTTTTAATGTTAATGGGTTCAGGTAAAATTCAAAATCAAAGTTGAATTGGGAAATGTCAATGTCATTTTTTCCTAGGGGTTGACACTTTTTCCTAGAATCGGTGGAATCGGACTGGAACCATTTAGAACCAGTCAGTTTGGCTCCGAATATTCTAAAAAACAATTTGATTTCGGGACAAATTTTTAAAAACCGACCGGTTCCGGTCCGATTCCCGGTTCTAGTATGGGAACCACGAGAACCAGACGGTTCTCATTGGATTTTTTTCTTTTTTTGGGTAAAATATATTACTCAATCTCCAACACTTTTATCAAAAATAATCGGGTTCTTTCTTAATTTTAGACTTCGGCACTTTCCTTCTTCTCTTTGATTCTTTCCATGTCTCTTCTTATAATTATTTGATTAATTGATTTTCAAGCCAAATCAGAATATTGGGTAAATCTATACTTAAATAAATTTATTTACAATATATAAATTTATGGGAAAATTGCAGCCGAGGTGCCAAACCTTTCGTTTATTAGCAGACTTTGCTCAAACCTTTAGTTTGTGCCACCCACAGTCCCAAAGCTTTCATAAATATGCATCAGGGGTCCAAACCGTCCATTTGACCGTTAATTGACCAAGAAAAGTAAATGTTGACCTATTTTGACTAAATTGAAATGGATAAAATGGTAACTTAATAATTACCATATTAAATAAATTGACAAAAAATCAAGAAAAAATCAAAAAATAAAAAATCTAAGAAAAAAATTAAAAAAAGGGTTGTCTTCTTCAACCACACCACCCCACCCCCATTGGCGAATTTTAGGGGGGTGTATTCAATTGGGACTTTTGAAGACTTTGATAGATTTTTTTAAGTGATGACTTTTGTGGATTTTGTGAATCTTTTATATGTTTGTGTGGAATTAGTGGACGTCTTTTGTAGACTTATATGGATTTTCATTTAAAAAATTTTATCGACTTTCGTGGAATTTAAAAAACTTTTGAAAACTTTCATTTAAAATAGAATTCACGTAGACTTAGTGTAAAATTCTCACATATGGGGGTGTTAGTTCCCACAATTCCACTTCTTCTTTTCATATACTAAAAAAAATGTGAAAAAAATTTAAGACCTTAGTTAAATAAATAATAATCAAAATTATATATATGAAAAAGGAAAAAAAGTCACAATAATCCAAATTTTTCCACAAAAATAGAAATTAATAATGTGAGAGAGAGAGAGAGAGAGAGAGATAAATGACATATAATCAATAAAATAAATAAATTTTAATCATACATGTCCATAGAATGTTAAAGGAAAAAAAATTGATTTTATTTTTTATTTTTTGTGAATGTCTCCCAAAATCTCGTGATTAATGAGATACAAATTTTAAAATTTTATATGAGTACTTTCTACTTAAAAGTTAGTATTTCAGATGCTTTTATAAAAGTTTCTAGAAGTCATTAAAATTTGAATACACTAAAACTTATAGAGACATCTAAAAAGTTTCAATTGAATAAATCGTAACTTTTAGAGACTTTTTAAAAGTCTATAAAAAAAACTCAATCGAATACACCGTGACTTTTAGAGAGTCTCAAAAAATCTCAATTGAATATCATTGAACTTTTTAAATTTCAAAAAGTCATTAAAAATTTCAATTGATTACACCCCTTAAGCTTGATATCAAGGAATTTTAAGTTTTTTGCCATTTCAATTCAATTTCTCCTTTTCATTCTGAAATTTTTAACCTCATTTCCTCTCCATTAATTTACTGTTTCTTGATCTCTGCCTATTTTCTTTAGTGGGCACTCCACTTCTTTGTTTCCTCTCCAGAGAGAGGGGGACGCCAAAAGGGAACCCTGCGATTGCATACCTTACGATCTTCTTCAATCTCTTAATATTAAAAATCAAGCCCACGTGAGAAAAAAATATTATATTTCTTTCAATTTGTTATTTAATTTTTTTATCAACCTGAAGTTTTGCTTATATTTTGATGATATTCTTTTTCATATTCTTTTCGTTGACTGAAATGTATCAATTTTGCATCTCGTGAGCCCGTAAAGTCGTTTTTCTGACATTGGCTTTGCCATTTGTTTGTGCTAAATTTACTTGGATTTTGCCCAATTCTGGTGATAGAAAAGTGTGGTTAATTTACTTGGATTCAATGGGACTGGATTGGGATCCATCTCGGAACTTCTATTGTTTATGTCCTAGTTGGAATTTAGTAGTTGTTGAGTTAGGGTTTTGTTTTTTGTGAAAGGATGGCAGATAGTCCCGATGGCAATGGAGTCACGAGAGTGGCGGCGATGGTGGCGGTGGTGCTGGGAAAAAGATGGGGGGTGGGGTGGGGTAGGGTGGAGTGGGATGGTTGAGGAAGACAACCCTTTTTAAAAAAAAATTCTTAGATTTTTTATTTTTTGTCAATTTATTTAATATAATAATTATCAAGTTACCATTTTATCATTTTCAATTTAGTCAAAATAGGTCAATATTTACTTTTTTTGATCAATTAACGGTCAAATGGACGGTTTCCATCTATTTGGACCCCTGATGCATATTTATGAAATGTTTGGGATTGTGGATGACATAAACTAAAGGTTTGAGAAAAATTTGCTAATAAACGAAAGATTTGATACCTCGGCTACAATTTCCCTAAATTTATTTATAAGATGCGAAATTTTTATTTTGCTTTCACTTTGATTACATGATTTTTATTTTGTTTTCACTTTGTAAATCTATACTTAAATAAATCTTTGAATAGTATGTTTGGTTCTTCTATATTTTGTCACGTTGGTATCATTTTTAGAGTTTTTATTAGTAAACATTTTATTTTGACATTTTCAATGTAAAGAACCGAATCGGAACCAATTGGTTTGGTTCCGGTTCGATTCCGTAGTTAGCTATGGAACCAATGGTTCTATTTCTAAAATTCCCATTGGTATTCGATTTGGTTTGATTTTATTTGGAATCGGACTAAACTTGACCACGCCCACTCCTAGTTTTTCCAGATTATTTGTCGGTTTATCAATATTAACCACTACTATCTGGAAATTTGGAACGGGTCCAGGACGCTATTTTAAATAATAATGATAATATATATATATATAAAAGACAATAATCAACTAAAAAAGTTTGTTTTTTTTATTCATATTTAAAGGTAGAATTGGTTCAAAGATGTCATAAATGTGACTTTTCGAACTATTTACAAATATATTCCATGGATTGTATCTTGCATAATGAGTTGATGTATTTAAAGGATGAGGAAGATGTAAAATTCCAAATCCAAGATAAAAATTTTCAAGATATGACTTCTTAATTTGTAAGTATTGTTTACGTTAATTTTTTTAGTTTTTCTCTCTCCCTTTTTTTTTTTTTTTTTTTTGGGGGAAAAAAAAAATTACAACCACTATTTTTTTAAGGGTGGTTGATAATTATATTATTTCTTCACCCTCCCATAATAGCATAGCTTTCAATTTTTGCTTATTGACTTGAATGCTCTGTGAAGGTTTTTATTGCCAATACCAACTGCCTAATCATGCTACAGCTACCAACCATGGGTTACCAGGAAACACTATGTATTTGTTTGTGATGTCACTGCAGACCCCTTTATTATTTTATTACATAGAGTAAACATTCGTTGGATGTATTTAGTATTCAGAAACTGGTCTGCAAGCTTAGTTCAAGAGCGGTTCAGAAACAAAAATGAAATATTTGTTCATGCTATCTTTTTTCTTTTTTCTTTTTTCCAAAAAATAATAGGACAAAAGGAGGGTAGTCTCCTCCTTGATCTGAATAACCTTATCTATGTTTCAAATGGAAAACAGATTAATCTGAAGATACCTTACAGACATGAAATTTTAGGACCTAGGAAAGCTTCCATTTGATGTAGCACTTAAATGTTCATGATTAGTGTCATGACTAAAGCATGTACCACAGTTTTCTTAATGTTGTGGACCCCCTCATGCTTGGCATTGCAATGACGAGTGTTGATATTGGACTTTTGACTTCTTCAAGGTCCTCTTGGATGTGAATTAGGGTATGTTCGGGATATTTTTTAAAAATCAATTTTCCCAAATTCATTTTCAACCACATATCCAAAAAAATAATTTTTCACGTGGATCCATAACTTTTCGCTACTTTTTAACCACATATTTTCCAAAAAAATCATTTTTCATGTGGAAAAATTTCTCTTAATGAAAACTTAATGTTTAGAAATATTGACTTTCTGTACTAAAGGTTATCTATCACCGTTATCTTTGATGTGGGAATTGACAACTTTTTATCTTTTATAATGCATATGCTTTGAAATCACTCATTTTTTGTTACTAGTTCCTGTTCTATTGTTTGGGAGAATATATCTAATCCAAATTTAGTTTTCATTCAGATAGTTTAAAATACTAACTAATGATCTGTTCATCTCTTACGTTAATTTCTGTTGATTTCAAATGATAACACGCAACAGGACATACCGGAACAAGGTAGCTAGTAGGGAATATGTACCCTGGCCCATAGAGATCAGGTTCTGTGAGCCTAATACTTCCACCAATCAGACTAAGTCTCCTGCGAGGTTAATTATCATTCTCTTTGTTGTCCATTGACTCCATTTAGGGGGGAATCACTGTGAAGGCTAGAAAAATGGTGGGTCTGATTGATAGTATTTTTTCAAATAATCTACAGCTTAAGGTATTGGTTTAGAGCGAAAGGAAAACTTTCTGATGACCAGGCTTTGCATAGGTAAGAGAATCTTCTTTAGTGTCTTTATTTTCTGGCATTTCTTGTTGCCGGCAACAGTAAGAAGAGTTTTTGTATATCAGTTGATGCCTTGGAGGTCTATTGGTCTTTTAAAAGTTCAATGATTTATGATATATACTAGCGTGTAAATAATTCCGTCAGAGAATTATGGTAAAAAAGTATTGAAAAGTTTATTTTATTGAGAAAATGTACGGTTGAAAATGAATTTGAGAAAAAAATGAGTTTTTTGGTGCTCAAACAGGGACTTAGTATTGTTTTCCTGAGAACGATCAGTTTGTTGTCCCCATAAAATCTACTCTTGGGCATACTCTCCTCAAGCATTGAATATGAAGTAATCTCTATTTATTTGAAGTACTATGATGACATGAATTAATCATTTTAAAATTTTATTGCTTCTAAATTTGTCTATCTTGAAAATTCTTATTCCATATGGTACCCTGTATGTTAGTATATTGGAACTAGATATTTATTTTTATGTTATGACCTGTCACAGTGAACTCTTGAACTTTGATAACTGGCTTTCTTCAAGACTCGAATCATAAATATGCACTATTGTGAGCTTATATCAGCCTTTCATGTTGTTTCAAAACTTTGATATTCCGAGCTGCAGCTTCTGTTACAGAATAATTTTCTAAAAAAACTCAATTTAATTTTTATCTACTAGTATCTTTTAAATAGATTTCATTCTCTTCCTCTTTCTGAGAATGGATAACATCTATCTTCTACGTTATGATGTGGAATTCTAGCAGATGTGTTGCTGCATATACTTCAGATCTCATATTTCTTCAAGTAAGCATGAATCCTCATCGTGAAAAGGGTTTGAAGTCGTCAACTGTGAGCCTGGATCACTCGTAAGTATCCACGTCCTTCCCAGTAATATAGATCTTCAGTTTCACGTTTTGAGTATTTTATATCTTTGGTAGGAATTATCTGCAATTAACAGAAGGCAACAATTTAAAACTGAACCCACCATGTTAGACCATAGATTGCATTTTTTTGGAGCTCTATAAGGAGATTGTCCTAATATCATGTAAGAGCTGGATTTAGGTTATTATTCTTCCCTAAATTTTCATCAATAAATGAAACATGTGGGGGCCTTTTTATTTAGGAGGTCAACTATTCCATGCTCATGATAGTGATATTCTAAAAGTTTGAGCCCATATTAACTGGATTTAAATGGTAAGTTCTGCAGGTTTGATTGAGTTTCCATGTTATAGTTACAGATCATTTAATTAGTGAGTGCTGCATCGTTTTTGGACGGTTGGACATTGGTAGAGATGCAGAACGGAGAAGAGAAAGAACAATAGGGAGAGAGAAGACGAGAAGAGTAAAAATTGAGGCCTCATTGCCCTTATATAGTATAAATAACTGACATTTACTCCAACTTCTAATATAACACAACGTATCGAAGAATCAAAATCCTAGTAAATCACAGGTATTCAACAAAATCCTAGTTATTCAAAGTCTATTTTTAATCCCGTTGCATCAGGTAGCATTGATTTTTTCATTTCACATCAAACGAAAATGTTTACGCATGTTTAGCAATGGACAGTATCTTATCCATGATGTCGAAGTTTTAGTCGTTAGGCCATGTCTATTATTCCCTTCTTGAGTACATGCATGAGTTCTTGAAATCTCCATTCTCTTGTACAGGATGTGGTTCCACAGGCCTTTTAGGGCTGATGACTGGGTGCTATATGTGGTGAGTACCATAGATCATATTCTCTTTCATTCCCAAATTTGTATTTCAGAACTAACATTCAAATGCTCACTGTTTCATAGATTTATAGTCCCAGTGCTCATGGTGCACGAGGGTTTGTTTCAGGACAAATGTTTACAAGGAATGGAGAGGTAATTCAGCCATGCCTACTCTAGTCAAGCTTTTTTCATGTGAAGCGCATTAGTCTATTTTTTGGCTATTAATTCTTTTGAAAATTGAGCCGAACCAAATATGCATACAAATGATTTGTAATTGCAGCTTGTTGCATCACTGACTCAAGAGGGCTTATTGAGGATGGCCAGAACTGCCAAATCTAAATTGTGAAATTCCCTCGTAGTGCATTCAGAAGAGGAACATTTTGCAAATTCGGCAACCATTATTCAGGTTTTAGTGGTTTCTTGAAATGGGTATGGTTCTAATCACAGGTCAACATTTTAAATAAGCAGCAGCAGAATGATCTGTGGTTTAGATTTATAACCTTGATGAAATAAGTGGGTCGTTTCCTTTCGGACATGTTTCTATATATTCATGAACTATATATGGTTTCAGTAGCATCAAAATAATCCTTCGTGTAACATGAAGTGTTTAAAGCATGTCTAATGCCTTTTGGTTTGCGACATGAAGTGTAGAGTTTCTACTTTCTATAGTCGTTTAGATGAGGCATATTCCGAGAGAAGCGTTTAACTGTTCATAGAACTCTTATGCCTATTGGCTGTAATTTTTTATTTGTTTTGGAACCGCAGTTGGGAGAATAGGAACATAATCTATTACGGATTTATGCTGTTTAACACATCTTCTGCTTCTTGGAGATCTCATTTTTTTTTTTTTTTTTTTGTTTTAATCGGTAAATGTGAAATTCAATAGATCAAAATTCATTTACAAGTACGCCAAGCATAGTCATGGACATAGCTCCTGTCTGTCATTCTTTATTTTACATTTTTTTTCCATTATTTTTCTAAAGTACCCAATTTTAACTACACATTTTTCATTAAAATAATATTACACGTAAATAAAAAATCTTTCCTTCTTTTTTAACCACATATTCTCCATCAATTACTATTTTTTAACCACATATTTCTTCAAGTTAAGAGGGCTCAAATAGGGCCTAAATAAGCCCTCATTTTGTGGAAAAATTTATGGGTGGAAAGTGTTTTTTTTTTAAATGAGTGGATGAAAAAAAAGGAAAAATTTTCGATTTATGTATAATATTATTTTATCAAAGATTGTGTGGTTGAAAATGGAAGAGAAAAAAGTGAAATATAATAAAATGAAAATTAATGAAGGCTAAATGAAGAGGCCATAAATGGCATATGAAGGGAAGCACACTTTCACTAGCAGACGCATATTTGGCTTCTCGCCAGATGGAATATGTATTTTAATTTGAATTTGGGAATTTTTATTTATTTATTAACGTTTGCTTATTTTTTAGGGACTTTTCTAGTTAAATTTAAGTTTGACTTAATTTGTCCAATAATTATTATAGACTTTGATGTGGAATTTCTTTGCATGCCTATTGGAAGAATAATTCTAATTTTTGGAAAGATGTAAAAAAAACATTTTGAGTTATTTGATTGCGGTTATGGACTTTTTTTAACTAGTCAATCGATCTCTGCATATAAGGTTCTCTAGTTGTGATTTTCTAAAGCCAATAAAGTGCTTTTTTGACCCCTTTTTTTTCAAGGTGGATTCCACACAAAATACAACCAATCAATTAAAGTGGTTGCCAACAATAATAATTTGGCCGAAAATTTCTTCCAAACAAGCGCTATGTTTGAGAAATAATCTTATCCCTTGGGTTCAAAAAAATAAATAATAATTTAGATTATTTCTCTCTTTACAAAATGTGCACTTAACACATCAAAATATTCAACAACTAATTCCACATCATTTTAGAGTTTCATATCACTGATTATAGTCCCCTGTTTGGTAAGAATTAAAATTAGATTTTTTTAATAGATGTGAATAAAAGTTGATAAAATATATTGTTGAAAAGTTGTGGTCCTCATGAAATAAGTGGTTAAAATTAATATTTAATAAATAGATTTTAATCCGTACCAAAAGAAAGGGGGGGGGGGGGGGGGGGGGCCAAAGGGAAAGAAAGAAAAACGAAGCAAAAATTGAGGGATTTGAAGGAAGAATCAAGGTTTTATTACTCCATTTCTTTAATAATTCATTCAAGGGACTAGTTTTATCTATTATCTTGCATTCTTCCTTTATTTTCTTTATTTTATAATGGGTTTCCTTACCATTTTCATTTTGTGCCTTTATTTTAAAGAATATGCTATTTGTACATAATGCGGTACCCCCCTTACATCGTATCCCTCCATGTGAGGAAATGAACATCGTTATAGACGCTCTGATGTACGTGTAACATCATCAACGTAAAATAAATCTATATGTACATTCTTGTC